CTACCTGCACGTTGTGAAGTGAAAAAAGTTCTTCATTCGCAACTTAATGTGATCACAATCACTACCGGTATCCAGCTCTGATATCAATGTCACAGTTAGCCTCCTTTCTTTTTTCGGTTTGTTTTGTGCGTGTGTTTGTGTGTGTGTGTGTGTGTGTGTGTGTGTGTGTGTGTGTGTGTGTGTGTGTGTGTGTGAGAGAGAGAGAGAGAGAGAGAGTCACACCCATCAGCAGTGTGTGCCGTACTCTGCAGGGACGCCTAAGCGCCTAAGCGCGGCGGATACATAGACAAAGAACTCGTGGCAATCGACTTTTGTTGCCAATGCATTACAGAAGCAATAACAAAATTATGAATATTCTTGCATATGCTAGGCTACCAGCCGGGCCGGCCGGGTCACCCTCTTTTCCCGGGCGGCCCGACCGTGCAAGGACAAGGGAAGGTCCTAGCAAAAAAAAAAAAAAAAAAAAAAAAAAAAAACCGAAAAAAACAAACTATAATATGCAGAAAAATAAATTGAANTTTTTTTTTTTTTTTTTTTTAAATCCTTATAAAAGCCAGAAACCGCGTTCGGCGTCCCTCACAAGGAGCAACCTTTGTGGCATGATCCGGGCACTTCAGCCAGGTTCATGCCCTGGTCGCAGTCACCAACGAATACTCGAAGAAATTGAAAGAATCAATCAAAAACGCAAATGCACAGTCAATTTCGGTATCCTTAGATCATGCTGAGATTCGCCTATACAGTCTATGTAAGATCCTATTTATTGTAAAAAAATAATAATAATAATAAAAAAAAAAATCCTATTTATAGTGTATCCTACAAAACAATTCTAACCAAATGAACAAAACAGTAATGTTCAAAACAGTTTCAGCACCTCTATACCTCAGGGTCACATCGAAATTCTTTACCAAATTCCAAATCAAAACTAAAATAAGAAAATATTTTTATTTTCTTTATGCGATAATTTGCAAAATACCCTCATAAGTAGAGATAAATGCCAAAATGCCCCTGAAAAATGTGGGTAGAGCAGAATGCTCTTTTGGGCCGAAATGCTTGTGTTGTGGCCCTGTCAGGTGGGTGTGCAACTTTGCAATCTGGACCTTCAAGTTTGGGCCCTGGCCTTTTGCAATAGCACCTAGGAGAAGTTGGCAAGTACTGGGGCATTTTGCAAAGTTAGACGGTACCCATTAGGGGTATATTGCAAAGATGGGGGTCCAATCGACGCCAGGGGTATTTCACAAAAAAAACAAAATTGTCAGAGGGGTATTCCGCTCTACCCACATCTTTTAGGGGCATTTTGGCATATATCTCAACTTCTGGTGGTATTTTGCAAACAATGCAAACTATCCCTTTTTTCCTTTTTCTTTTTTTTTTTTTGGCCCGGCTGGGCAAGTGGTCCCTCGCCACTCTGGTAGCCTACTTCATATGCATATCATGCAACAAAAAGCTATGTCATGGAAGACAGCCCCATTGAATTTGAGTTCAGACGGGATGTGCTCCAAAGTATCAGCTGCTATGGCATGTTTCGGAATGCCAGTTCCATAAGTGAGAGTTCATATTTCGTCTGCTGCAGGAATTAACCTTCGTTGGCGCTATGTGCATTTGATGTGCCGACCATAGACAACCTGGGTTTAGCATATAGTTGAGGGCAGCAGGAGGCCACATTGTCAGAGGTTCTGTCGAAGGAATGGTTGGGGTTCCCACCGGTAGCATAGCACATGCCTATGTGGATGGGGGCTAGCATGTGATCGTCTGTGGTGATCAGTGCCGCACACTGACAAGACGTATTACACTCAACCACTTCATCACCTAATCAATAAATGAAAATGCATGTGCTCTATCCCTGTCTTAGGTGTACGCACCTTAAACCACCACGGTCCACCAGTATACCTGGGCCGGGAGGCGCTGCACTGCGCACCAAGCTTTTCCAAACTGCTAGCCGGGGACTTTTTTCTTTTTTGGCTGGGGCCACCAGCCATTGTGGTTCAGTAGCCTCGAGCCGCAAAATTTCCAGAGTAGGCGAGGAACAAAGTTATACATGGCTAGGGGAAAATTGTCACAGGCCTGGACTAAATTTGGATCTGATTTTGCCGTCTGATACATCCAAAAGAACTCCTACCATCTTCACCAGAATACAACACCTGGTCATTATCGCTGCACCTGGACTGAAAGCTGCACCAGATACGGCTATAATGACCAGGCGTCCGATCCGGGCGAAGACGGTAGTGTCAGCATGCCCTAAAATCCCAATGGCCTCCTTTTTTTGGGATGTGGCTTGTATGAGTGCAGTCACTAGCCTTCTGCTTGGCATGGGTGCAGGTTGTGTTCCATTCCTGCTGTGAATGAAAAATATATGAGCTCATAATTCCAAATAACGGCTGGTACCCCACCTCCACTGGCAGAAACTGTCCTTTGCCGAGGCGAAACTGTCAAGGGACCCCATAGCAACAGCTGCCCAGCTGGAAAGGAAGAGTGTGTGTTTTTAACTTTTTTACTTGGGAGGTAATGCCAAGGACTGAAACGGCGTCAGATGGCCAGCAGTTGGGGGTAGGGGCAGGGGCAACCCCTCCGGAGGAAATGGTACCGCAAGTGGAGTAGCACAAATGACAGGAGGGGGGAAAAAAAAACAACCTTGAACCTACAAAAAGCTGCTCTTGCATCTCAATTCACATCCTCTTTTGGGTAGTGGAAAGCTCTGCTTTCCTTATTACGAGGAAAACACTTCAACGGTAGAAATTCATTCGGTGACTCGCACAAATAATGTGCGTTGGAAGTTGGGTCTCTTTAGCAGTTTTGGCAACTGGAAAAAGGGGAAATGCCTGCAGGGCATGACCCATGAGGTTTCCAGGCCGCTTCCCTTCGGGTGTGTGCAAGAGCCCTTCCAGGACCTCCTCCTTTTCCCTGGCCCTCTCTGCTGATAACTTTTTGACCGTCTCTCTTAGCTTTCCCACTCCCTGGTGGAGCCACTCGACCAGTGATTGATAATCCGGTTTCCTGGTTGTCCAGTACACCCATAACTCCTTGACGCACTGGTACAAGGATCTGGAGGGGCTAAAAGGGAGGACTACCGCTACCCCCAGCGGGCCTGTCAATTCATTTGAGATAAGCAGGAGGTTGATCCTTGAATTGGAGAGCCCGTATTCACCTCTAGATCTTATGCATGCATTGGCGTTCTTGTTTGGGTTGAGCACTCCGTATGAGTCCGGCCAGCAGCTGGTTGAACATCAAGCCATTGAGTCCCAGTTGTAGTTGAGACCCTCTTTGGCTGTCCCGTTGGGACTGGATTCGCCGGTGCATGGCAGGGTCCGGTGCATGGTTGAAGTCACCAGCTAGGATAAGCACTATATCCTCAGGGAGGATTTGCAGGAGCTCCAAAAAGAAGTCCGCCCTTTTCAGCGGCAGTGTTTGGGGCATATACATGCAGGCCAGGCACAGTTCGTCGTCCCCCAACTGGGCTCTCATGTATATCCATCTTCTGTGTGCTTTGTCGGCTTCCACTGTCAGGGGCTTGAGCCTTGATGTAGGGGGGAGCCAGATCGCAACTACCACCGAGTGGTAATTCGTTGTGTAGGCGACACAGGAGACATAGGGCCACAATTCTTTCTCTCTGGTGGCGTGAGTTGGGTTGTCTAAGAGGTGTGTTTCCGGACACACACTGCATCAGGCCGATAATCTGAGTCCCCCAGGTGGATCATACTCCAGATTGCTGCCCTTTTTTGGCCGGTGGCTACGTTCAGTCTGTTGACGTTTACGGAGCGGATGTCCAAGTCCGCTTTCTTTAGCTCTTTTTCCCATTGCGGGGGTTTCCTCATCTGAGGGGGAACCAGCAGGAGAAGGGATGGGGGGGGGGGGGGGGGGGGGGGGGGGGGGGGGGGGGGGGGGGGGGGGGGGGGGGGGGGGGGGGCGGTGGGGGGTGTGCAAGGGGGTGGTGAGTGCTGGTGTTTGCATTCCTGCATTTTGATGGGGGGACCCCAGCCTAGGCTGTCGAGCTCTCAGCGGGGGTGTATCATCCATGGGGAGTGGTTTTCACAGTGTGTCACAGTTGCCATGCAGCTGGGCTGCTGTGCAGTAGGATGGTTTATGTTTGTCCCTGGGTGGCTTGGGGTAGAGATGTCACGTGTGTGACCAGAACACCCGATATATATGTCTGATGTGGTAAGCCAGCCAGATTTGGCTAGTTCTGAGTCGCGTGATGGGGAGTTGCCAAAGATCCCCCTCAGTAAGCCACTCAATCAGTCTGCAAATTTTCTTATTATTTTTCGTTCCCCCCCAGGGCGCCTGACATACTGCCGTGTGGCTCTGAGAGGGGAATGGGAGGCCCAGCGGTGTGGACAGCCAGGTGAGGACCTCATCTGTGGGCACTTCCATCAACGGGTGGAAGTGTGCTGCCATCTGCTGGTGCTCTGCCCGCCCTTTCCATCCAATGATTGTGACCCCCGTGGGCAATTTTTGGTACTGCGGCTCGATCTTGATAAGGCCAATGAGGGGTTGGGTCGTTTGGGGGTAATGGCTGGTAATTAGGAGCAGGGTGGTTTCTCTGATGTTGCCTAAGTCCCACCATTCCTGTCTGTCAAGCCAATCCCTCATCTTCCCTCTTGTGGATATTCTGGCCTCCGGCTGCCCCTCTGTTGTGCCCCCTTCGAGGGGTGAGTCACGGGGTCCAGTTCTCCCACAGTCTGCCTGTTGGTGATTTTTTTGGTGCTGGTCTTCCCCTGTGTCTTCTTCGTCCTCCTCAGATAGGAGGTTGATGGGGGTGTGGCAATCTTCTCCCTCCCCCCTGCCCCGGGGCAGCCCCCCACCCCGTTTCCCTCCCCCCCTTCCCCGGAGCAAACCCTCACCCCATTGTTTTTCCCTTTGTTGCTGAGCTGGTTGCTGGCGAGGAGCTACTGCCGGGGAGGGGTTCTCTGAAGCCGGTGCTGGAGGGGGGTGGTGGTATGGTTGTCCCTGCCAATGGCCAGTTCTGAGACATGTCTGTGGTGGTTCTTGCCGGTCGGTTGCTGTACCTGCATCAGTTTTGGTGATCTGGTTCTCCTCTCCCGGTTGTATCTTAAAGATGCTGCTGCGGATCATTTTCTTCACGACCCCCCTGGTAAGGTGGAGACTATGGGGCCAGTCAATCTGAAGGAGGGAGGGGAAGGCATTGACCGTCTCCACCATGGGAGGGCAGGCGGCCACCATCTCTGCAATGACATCCCAGTACCAGTCGGGGAGGGCATCTACCACCTGAATGGGGGAGGCGCTGAGGTAGTCCTGAAGTGCCCAGTCCACGATTTAACAGCCGGGGGGTGGGCTCCTGGCCTGGCTTGAGGGAGGAGTCCAGTTCCATGTGCTGTGCAGCGGCACTGCAGCCAAGTCCTCTCTGAGGTTCTCCTCCTCGGGTTCCTGTCCAGCATGTGTTTGCAGGCTGTTCTGGCGCAGTTTTGGGGGCGGAGGAAGCATAGAAACCTCCATAGGTGCCGGTGTCTGGTCCTCTAATTCTTGTTTCGCAGGCGGCAGTGCTGTGTGCACAGCGTTTTGTGGAAGTGGGTGGGGGTAGGTATGGAATGTTGGCCCCAGGATATCATGCAATGGTTGACCTGTGTATAGCGAGGCACAGTTACTGCATAGTTGGGCTTGCCACGTTGCGTAGCCCGACATGTGAAACTGCTGTGTGAGGGACATTGTCTCCTATAGTATATAGCCTTGCGGGAGGATGGCTACACTCTGCTGGAACTGTCCGGCCCACTGGACAACCGGACCCGGCCCTCCACCCTGAGGAACGGGCGGCGGGGCTGTCATCTGTTGAAGACCGCCTCCCTCCCTCAGGGCAGCGGGGGGATCGGAGGGGAGTCGTCAACGTCCATGTCATGGCGGGTTGTGACAGCGAGTTGTCTTTCGTCATAGCCCCGGGCCAGGGCTTGCACTTCCATATCACACGGTCGGGGCTGGCCAAGTTGTGAGGGCTGCTCCTCAGCTGGAGGCCGTTGCAGTGCGGTGGCTTCTGACAATATTTGCATCAGGCTCGGTCCCCCTTTGGGCGTCGTCTGCCGTTCCCGTGTCCACGTTGTTGGCCACCGTTTCTGTGACGGGGTCATCAGCCTGCACTTCCCCCATCGTCACTGATGTGTCCTGTGTGGACTGGCAGAGGGGGGCGGCCTGCCAGGTGCGGGTGCTTTCATCAGCAACTCTGTTCCCAGGAGGGGTGTTTTGGCCAGTATCTGTGCTCTCCTCATCACCAGGTTCTCCCCCTCCCTTGGGCGGGAGGAGGAATTCATCCAGCTCGTCCTTGTCCCACTCAATGAGATGACCGCTTTGGCTCTTTGGCGGGTCACCTGTCGATTGGGGAAGGTAGAGGACTTTCCTCTCTCCCGTCACTTTTGAGACCACCTCTCTCAGGTGGGGCAGTGGTTCCAACGGCGGGGAGGTGGTGTGGCTCCCTTGTCCCCCTTGTCCTGAGCCCGGCCCCAGTGGCGATGGGGGGACCTGCAAAGGCGGCAGCTTTGTGATCGAGCGGTGTTCTTTCTTAGGGGAGGGGGGCTCTGTTGCCGGTCTGGCCTGTAGACCGCCCACTATCTCATTCGGGGGGTGTCATGGTTCGTGGTTGGGCTGTGGGTTGTCCCCTCCATGCATTATGGCCTTTATTTTCATAGAGACATCTTCAATTTTGCCATACCGGGCCATGGCTTTAACGAGGCCATTAACTTTGTCTTTGACCCTACCCAGCCCCAATGTCTCTTCGTGTTTGGGGGGGAGGGGGGGCAGCATTCTTGCTGGTCTGTGGTGCAGTTCCCCCATTGTTATCCTCCACGGTCTGTTTATTGTGTGGCGCCTTCCCGTTCTGTCAGCCAGACTGGCCTGGCTGTGGCCCACTGTTGTCCCCTTTTTCCTCAGGTTGGCTGGGGCGGGCAGCGCGCAGGCAACTGTTCTCATGTGTGTGAATGGCAGTGCTCCCCTTCCCCCTGGTGCGGTCGGGCTTCTCCTTCCTCTCAAGTTCATCTTGCCCGTCCTCAATAGCCTGCTGGGGGCTCCAGACACCGGTTGTATCGTTGTGTAGTGTCGTGGCTGGTGGCCTGTTCTCCTCACCCGCTTCCCCATTACGGGGGGTTGGTTCAAGGGGGGGAGTGAGGGGGCCCATGGGCAAGGGCTACAGACACCGGCTGTGCCCCCTGTTCCCTACTCAGGGTGATGTGCTGCAGTCGCCCCCCCTCCCGATGGTCCTGCCGGATCCTGTGAGCATCTGCAGGTGTGAAAGGTCTACGGTCCATAGGACAGGCTACAAATGCATCACGCCTTTCCCCAGCCCCAAACTCCAAACCGCCAGCTCATCACGTTCCCTTACCATGGCCCTTGCTCTACTACACCTCACTCGACATGCATTTCGGACGAGCTGAAGACCAGTGCATTTGGACGAGTCCAACCTTCCCAACCGGGTCCGAATTCGTCGAAATGCATGTAGAGTGTTGTGTAGTGGGGCGAGGCCGTACTCGATACAGGCAAATCATTAAACAACGACCTGTAGATATTTTTTTTTTGTTTTTGTTTTTGTTTTTAATCTTATTCACGAACTACGCGAGGTCCGACCAGCAAAGGGGATTGGATTAAGCGCCTGACTCTGGACGGGTTTTAAGCAGCAATGCAGTAAGCCAGAGCAAATGCCATTTTCTGCATCTCTCAACAATGACATCCAGATTCAGGCAATAAACTCTATCCTCTTTGCTAGTCGGGGGGATTCTGGATGGGTTTTAAGCGGAGATGCAGAAAACAAGAGCAAACGCGACTTTCTGCATCTCAACAATGACGTCCAGATTCAGGCGTTAAATCCTATCATCTTTGCTAGTCGGACCTTAGCCCTGATCTCTTTTTTTTTTTTTTTTTTTTTTT